GTTATGAGGAACTCATCCGGCACATCTGATCTACAAGTGAGACGGGGGGCCAAGTCATTCAGGTTGACTGTCATGTTAAGAGGAGGTTAACAGGCTCTCTATCGAGTCCAGCAATGTTACAATCCAACCAGAGTTAAATAAGAGGATCGCCCTAACCTCAAGTACTTTTGAAAACGTGTCCAATATTTGGGCTAAAAAAGAAGTTGCTCTTTCCACGAAAATCCCCCTGTACCTTCCCTCTGTCCACTAAGGGTTGTTGTACGGCGTGGAGAGTTGTTCTAATGGGGAGGCAAAACAGCGGTTGAATTGCGTGCATAAGCCTTGGCTTCGACACATAGTGAGGATTAAATGACTTAATAACTCAATCCAGTTCCAGGCACAGATGAGGCGGTAGATGTAGGGATTGAGAAATGGAGGTTGCCCTGTTAAACAAACCAAATGAGCATACACCGTCTACTCCAGCCCTCTATTTATTTCGTTTAGGAGTCCAAACACGGCAGTCATCGACCAGGAGGTCAGCATGTAACATAAAGGAACAAAGTAGGGACAGATCTGTTTTAGATGAGTTATATTTCCTTCTGTGATGCAGCAATCTGTGCCATACAGCAGTAGTGTTGAAAAGAAAGCTGAGCATACGATGGACATCACAAATCGAAGATGTTCTGCATACGATCTCAACAACGAACATTACACAGTGAGTCAAGGTTTCCTCTCTGAAATTAAATATGAAATATCAGACGTTCAAAGGCGAATGCTGCTCATTCATTATGACAAATTTCGGTTGACATCTCACCTGTTCATAGTGATCACGATGTGAGTAATTTTTGGAAAAATTACTCCGCCAGATTTCTTATTCTTGGCTTTCCAAATGATACGAAGAAAATACAATTCTCTCTACATTTCTCGATACTGTCCCTCATGCACTATTCGGTTCTTTTATTCAATCTTATTTATGATTCCTTATCCTCCTTTTTGGAGACCAGGTAGCGTGACCTAGAACAATTTCATTGTAATTGCATATTAAATTTTTAATTTTTGAAGTATGCTGATGTCATCATCGGTCAAAGACCGAGTACCCAGATTAATGGTCTCTGAGTGGTGACTAACGGAGTATTGCAAATTGATTCATACTGTCTGCACTTTCAACGGTAAAATATTTTAAATATGCATGTTATCCTGAAAATCAGCCATGAATTCTAAAATTAATTACAATAAAGAACTGTAGGTGGAGGCTAGATTATCACATAATCGGCATCACCTTTTTTAATCTATTGGCTGATAAATGCTTCTCCTAGAATTTTCCATAAATTTTTGCTTTCTGTGATTTCTATCCATCTTGATCTAACGAACTTGGTCGTCTCATCCTCCCGTCGGTCTGTGGTCCATATTGGAACCCACTGTAACTTTGTTCCCACACTGTTGGTTCTCCGTTGCAAAGATGACCTGTCTCAGGTAGACGTGGTTTTGCACCTCTTTAAGAGATTACTTCATATGTGCTGAGAAAATGTTAAGGTAAGGATTAGATTGATGACTGGTAAGGTTGATAAGTTGATAAACCCAGCTGGATACAGCGAAAAATGTATAACTTAATTTGCTCTCTAAAAACATTTCTGAAATGACTTAGCTTTATGACTGCAAATGGGACAATCATTACAACAGAAAAAAATGTGATTCTCTTTTCAGGGGAATAAAGGTACGAATGTACTCATTGGGCCAGTGTTATTTTGCTGGACCTCTCCTGTTTCATTCGACCAGTAGTCTCAAAGGATCCCAGTTTCTTTCCATATTCTGAAACGATCCAAGCAAATAAGCATGAATATTGAATATGTATGAATGTAGAGTGAAAAAATGGATGAGTAAATGAAGGATTGAGTCAGTGAATTAAATGGGCTTTAGTGTTCTCTGACACTCTGATTTGTTCCGAAATGGAAGGGTTTATTTCAGAGGTATTCAGATGCAAGAAATGGCTCACTTCGTTGTCAATAAGGGGCCAATCAGTCTCCAGGATTGAACGATTTTTTTCTGGTTAGGTGCCTGTTGGTCAATGAGACGTTGGACGCAAATGGTTCCTTTTTGATCAAGCGCCTTTGGCGAATCAGTAGCGCTAGGATGCCGATGCTCAAGAACAGCTTTGGTTGATATCAGCTCGGCTCTTCTGCGATCAAGTGGTCGCCACGACGAAGATTAAAGGGACTGGAAAAGTTATTTTACACGTTCGCGCAGGGTTTGAGTTAAATTAAGTCTGGTGAAAGGAGTAAAATTTTCTTATTAAACCTGTAAATTCCCTGAGGAAAATATTTTCCCCATTATCTATAGTGCAACAGTCGAGAAACAGGTAGCAAGTCGTGACTGGCGAATAATAGATACAGTATGATGTAGCAGTGCCGTGCTGATGCATAACAGCATCATGAATGATGGTAGAATGATGGACGATGTACTATGCTGCCCGCCTAAAAATGTTTTGATTATGCCGACGACTGAAAGTGACGATCACACAGTGCACACGGCTGCAATTCGCCTTGATTCACTTCTTGACTGACTGTTAATAAACATAAGTTGTAACCTGAATCAAGTATATGAAAAATCAATGAGTGAATCAACGAATAAGTCTGCCGAGTGACGTCTTGATCTTCCGTGAACTGTCATCCACAGCTTAAAGGGTAAATGACGTGATGAAATGACTTTCCATACTTTCTTTGGTATTTTCTTTTTTCCGTCAAGGCAACTATAAGAGATTAAAAGAATTCTGTCACCTCCGGTTACCAAAGTCCCGTTTAGCGGCTTTTTCAGTAGTGGTTGATTTTCAGGTTATGGTAGTGAATGAATAACACACAGCTCGCTTATTTCGCCCTCCCATCCGATTCTGTACTTTGGTCGCTGATTCTCTCTGTTACGAGAGCTGGACTACGACTACGGAGATCTTTGATCAATTCAGAAGTATATCGTCTGATTCTGGCAGGGTCGACTGAAAGGCTTTGCTGCCGTTCAGTTCCCAAGGCATAATCCCAGTGATTTGCTACGATTGCTTTCGACAGTCTGATAATATTTGCAACTTTACTGGAGAAGGATGCCACTCTACTGAGTCCCTTGTTGAAGCGAATTTCCAAGATCAACCGTGTGGACAGCAAAACACTGTAGAAAATCATGTCCAAGCAAGCTCCGGAGTTTCAAAGTCCTGAGAAAGGCTGACTACCAACTGAACAAATGACCTCTCCGAAGTTGGTCGAAAAGAACGGTCTCTTGATCTCAGTACATGCTCAGTCCAACAACAGCCTTCGCATGCCACTGATCATTGATGCCAGAAAGAACATGATACTTCCGACACTGTTGTCCTAGCCGTACGTGATCCAAAACCCGTGCACAAATTATTATCACGTGCACATGTATGACCCTTCTAGGCAATTAGAAGCAAGGATGCGGTGCCTTACGCTGTGAAATCTGGTCTTGGAGTAGTTATGCGTTACTTTACGTATGTTTGTTCCTATATTCATGTTTCCTTTATCTTTTGTCGTCGAGCTGCCAGAAACTGCGATGTGGCTGTTAGCATAATAAGAAATAAATAATAATTTGAATTTTAAACCTGTGCCGATTGTCCATCATGACTTCTTGTTCGTTTCAGGAATCCGCATTCATGACATCATCAAAATGGCGACCGACGAGCGAAACGTCCAACCGGATGTCAAGACGCAGAACGTCAAAGCGCTGGCCGTCCATCTCCAAAACGCGCTGCGCTTCCACCGGCGTCTATATCGCAAACGAGTCACCCCCCACCGCATTCTGCGCTTCCTGAACTTGCCTTACACGGCGACGTACGTATCTACGATGTATTTGGTTTCGAAAGCGCTGTACATGATAAACGTGTCAGGTCAGCTCATCCTGATGAACCGCTTTCTTGAGACTGACAGGTATTCTCTGTATGGCTTCGGCGCCCTGGCCGATGTTCTCAACGGCACTACTTGGGAGAAGTCTGGCATTTTCCCGCGCGTCACACTGTGTGATTTTCAGGTACGTAGTGAAATCGTGCCGTCTTCAGGTCTGTTTTTGAAGTTATTACGTTAGCTGTTCGTTAGTCGTATGCGGGCGAGCGACGACCACAGTACGTTATCACATGTCAAGGCTAAGTAGGCTACGTTCTGTAA